CAAATTACTTAATCATTTCTCTGTCTATACAAAGACAAGGTTCTTATGTATCGTGCACATGTACAACTGTGGCTAACATTTAGTTCCCTCCCCCCCAAAAAAAGAAGAAGAAAGAAATCACATTTGAAATTAACAATTTACAATTCTGTAGCTGAGTTTTCAGAAGTCAGCTTGAAGTTTCCAGTTTTTCTAACTTAGGTAAATGCTGTACCTAAAAGTAAAATGTAAAACATGACTTTGTCATCAGATTTACTGTTTTCGTCTTTTTCTTTTCTTTTTTTCACAGAAAGACTGTTAAAATACATTTGTAAAAGTATCTATAATCTATTTTTTCTTTAATATATGACGGTTGAATTATTGTTTAATAATGTACATACAATCTTTAAAATAAATACAACTTGTGACTGTTAACAGGACAAGAATGCTTTGGTTCAGTAATTTTAGATAGATGTGTTTGTTCAAGGAGAGATAACTTGAATAATAGCATATGTTTTCACAACATAATCATATCATATCATATCTATTGTGACCGGCAATCCAATAAAATGCAGGTAATTTAGTAGATTTAAAAAATGGAACCTGACCAGGAAATGTTTTTATGCAAACATCTTTGTGGTTTGACATGAAGTTCTCTATGAATACATCCTAGAAAAGGCTAAAGGAAAAAAACAAAAATGCAGATAACAACCCTGTCAGGTTGCTCCTGTTAAGTTAAAACAGCACTGCATATTGAACTTTCAAGAGGTGCTGTTAAAAGTAAAAGGTATTTAATGTTCTTTTACCTTAGACATGGAAATTCACTGCTTCCTTTTGCCTTTTGTTTTTTTCTGATACGTTTCGTGTTTCAAAAATAGTACACAGTCTGTAAAACTGCAGCTATTCTTTAACTAAACTGAGATTGCTTTAGCTTATAAATACATGCATTAAATCAGGTAATCTGAGAAAATTTCCCCTAGTTTATCTGCATTTTACTAATCTGTTCTTTGTTTCTCAGCAATGAGAGGATATGGAAGAGAGAGAGAGAGAGAGAGAGAGAGAGAGAGAGAGAGAGAGAACAAGACCCACCACGAGGCAGAGCCAGAGGTGGCGGGCCTGACAGTTATGATGAAAGAATCCAAAATCTTATCAATGTTATCAGACATCAATATCGTCATGTTTTGTGTCTGACAGACATATAAAGTGAGGAATTTGTATTTTTCAAACACCAGCAGAATCCCATGAAATAGTGTCTTATTTGTGTGTTACAGAGAGGTCATCGACAAAGCAGCAGAAAGTAACTCTGACATCTCAGAGAAGCAAGAGGACAAACTGAAAATAATCAGGCAAGGATATTGCCTCAAAACTTTGTTTCCAACACTTTAGATAGAGTTATTTAAAAAAAAGAAAAAAAGAAAAACACGATATAAGGATATTGCCTCAAAACATTGTTTCTAACATTTCAGTTAGAATTATTTAAAAAAAGAAAAACACGATATAAAATTTGTTGTTTAGTTTATTTTGTAGAAGTATTGAGCAATTAAATGAAAAACAAAATGGCTTCAGTGTACGAAAAATGGTGATTCTGTCAATTTTGTCAAACGTCAAGTCCGTCAGTTTTAAATACCAACTGAATTCTGTGCAATGGTGTCTTATTTTGTGTGTTACAGGAAGGTCAACAAAAAAGTAGTAGTGCGCAAGAAAGGGGACAATTCCCAAAATATCAAGTAAGGATATTTTCTCGAAGCTTTATTTTTAACATTTTAGTTTGAAATTAATTAATTAATGTTTTAGTTCGTTTTTTGACAAAAAAAAAAAGAGAATAGAGGGATTGCTCACCTGACTTGTCTGTGTGTTTGTGTGTTACAGGTTTTGTGTTTGACAGAGATGAAAAGTGATAAATTTGTGTTTTCAAATGCCACCTGAATTCTATGCAGTATTGTTTTGTTTGTGTGTTACAGGGAGGACAACAACAAAGCAGTCAAGAGTAAGCCAAAGGACAATTCCCAAAAAATCAGGCAAGGATATTGTCCCAAAGCCTGATTTGTAAGATATTAGTTAGAATTTTTATTAAAAAGAAATAAAGGGACTACACATCTGACTTGTCTGTATGTTTGTGTGTTACAGGGAGCTCATCAACAAAACAGTAGAACGTTACTCTCAAACCTGGAAGAAGCAGGAGGACCATCACCGACAATTCAGGTAAGGATATTCTGTCTGGTAGAACAGGATAGCAGACAGAGAAGAGACAAATGTGTAGCTCCTGATCCAGAGGACAAAACGCTATCTACATAGAGAGAAGACACAAAGTGAGACTGCATCATGGGAAGTTCCCCACAAGTCTAGACCTATTGCAGTATAACTACGTGATGGTTTAGGTGACCCTGAAACTATACACTTTACCACACTCCTAATCTTTAAAGTAGAGAGAGTGTCTTCCTTATAATAGCGAATTACAACAGTCCAGCCTAGAAGTTACAATGCATGGACAATATTATGCAGGTGAAAGAAGGGCATCCTACAGACATGCTTTAACTGGTCTGAGTTGATGAATATATCCTGGTTGAAAATAACTCCACGGTTCCTCACAGTAGAACTGGAGGCCAAGGCTATGCCATCCAGAGTAACTACCTGGTTAGATACTGTATTTCTGAGGTGTTTAGTGCCAAATAGTATAATTAAAACTACAAGTCATCCAAGCTTTTATGTCCTTAAGACATCCCTGGAGTTTGACTAGCTGATAAGTTTCATCTGGTTTTATGGATAAATATAGGTGAATGTCATCTGCATAGCAATGAAAGTTCATGTAGCGTTTCCTAATAATATTGCTTAAGGGACGCATGTATAAGGTAAATGACATCAGTCCAAACACAGAACCCTGTGGAACTCCATAACTAACTGTGGTTCGTGTCATCATTAACATGAAAAAACGGAATCTATCCTAGCTGACTTAAGGCGAAGGCAGGGGACACCCTAGTCAGGTTGCAACGCTACACTTAGAGACAGACAATCAAGCAAACTCACATTCACACCTACGGACAATTTAGAATCACCAATTAACCTCAACATGTTTTTGGACCGTCGGAGGAAGCTGAAGCTGGAGAACCCGCAATGCTAACCACAGAGTCACCTTGCGGCCTCTGAGACAGTTTAAAGTGTTATGTTGTCATTAATGTGATTAAGAAGTGTGATGTGTTTGATGACTTCCGGCCACTATACCTGTGTTGTGTTTCTTGTACCAAACTAAAAGCACCTCCTCGGGGCAGGGTGTAGAAAAGACAAAAGCTCTGGCGTTATTATTTCATGCAGCTTGCCACAATATGATTTAAACTGCAGACATGAAAGGATAAGTATAAATAGAAATTGAGGCTATACAGAGAAGGAAGAAGCTCAGGTTAATGCAGAGGAACTGCATGGTCTCAATATAACATCTTACATTCATGTGAGTTGTTGTAAAACAAGGAGACTTCACCTGAATTACTGCTTTCACTCATCATGATCCATTTATGGAATAAAATCAAATTGTTCTAATTAATTGTCTGACAGTATTTGTTAAATGGTTTTTAGTCAGAAAATAACAAGTCGTTGTGTTTAGCATCTAATCTTACCGCTCAGTCAGTGTCAACAATGTCCTTGGGCTTCAACAGATCTAAGCTGAGCAGCGAGTGTCATGGATTGGACAAGGCCATAATTACCCAGACCAACACTCCAGTGGGATCACAGATTGTTTACAATGGGTTGAACAAGACTCTGCAGGTGACTCCAGAGCTCTTCAGCATCTTTGCAAAGGTGTGGTATTTGTCATTCATGAATACAGGACCTGCTGCCTGTTAGACGTCTTCAATGTTCCTGAAAAAAAACATATTTGCAATGACACTTTACTTCCGATGTCTCTCCAGTCAGTGCTGTTTGGGTGAGCCGTCTCTATGTAAATCATTCCTGGACATAACCGTTGTGTCTGTCGCATTGAGTCTCTCATCCTCCCCACCTCTCAGGCGACTCGAAGGGTATTGCTCATTGTTTTCCTTCATAGCTTGGGTTGGAGCCCTCTTGCGAGTGCTGTGCGTGAGGTTGCTGGCCTCATACACCCCTGCCAGTCTTTCCTGGAGGTCATTTGTCTTTCCACAACCACCAAACTTTCTTGATTGCCATTCAGACTTTCCTAGAAGTCACTGATTGCCCACATATCCTTGAATATAATTACATCCGAGGATGCTTCTCCGGTTTTGTTTTTTCTAAAGCACTGAGTCTCATGAAACTTATCCTAAAAGGTATGAGGAAAAGTTCTTCTCTTCACTTTGCCTGTTGGACTTTTAACCTTCTTTATTCATAAACGAGGACAATGAATATAATTACATCCAAGGATGCTTCTCTTTCATTCACCTTTGGTGACCATAGCCTTGGCCAGGAGGAGTTGATGTCGTCAGAGGGTGCCCTTTGATCATCAAGTGTTTTGACCCTGAACCGTAACACCTTACCAATGGTGGGTCAGCAGTTGTGGCCGAGTCACTTCCCATCTCATCCTCCTGACTTCCAGCTCAACTCCTCTCTCCTGCTCCATAACAGAGAGAGGCTCTTTCTGCTGCCACCACCATCCTGCAAGCTGCTGTCTTTTTCTCCCTCCCTGTTATTCCTATGGCTGTGAACATTTTCCACACTGACTCTGCGGGGAATCCTCTACAGCCGACCTTGACTGCAAACAACCATGACTGCCAATAGTTTCCCCTACAGTCATCCAAGAGGTCCTGGTATTTGGCACTCTTCCTTTCAAAGGCTTGATCACAACTGATCGACATTTGGTTTGTAACATAAAATTACATTTCATTGATCCTTCTGTGAGAAAACTAATTAGGGTCCGAGCACCCAAAAGGGTGCGAAGACCCTATTGGAACTGCT